TCGACTTCAAGGACGTGACGACAGACACGGCGACGGTGGACGTGGCGGGCGGCAAGTGCAACCTCACGCTAGGCCGCGCCACCATCGAGTTCCGCTACGACAACTGCCCAACCTGGGTGAGAACAGAACGCACCTCGAACCGCGTCTCCAAGTGGGACCTGCCTGCCCAGATCATCACTGTTCGGTTCAAGCGGCTCGTACGCGACGGCAACGTGCGTGAGGAGATGACACGCTACTTCTCCGCCACGCTGGGCGAATCCCGCTCACAGTACGTCGACCTGCGTGACCCAAAGAACATGAACAACACGCTCAAGTACGCGCGCTTCGAGTACCATCCCGAACCAACGCTGGACATCTCCTTCAACTCGGAGGAGTCGCACAGCTGTTCGTACAGTGACGGCACGCCGCTGCGCGTGATTCAGCAGAACACTCAGACCTTGGTGACCATCAAGGTGACGGAGGACTACGGCGACAGCGTTGGCACGTGCGATGTTGTGCCGGGCACGATTGAGATTGAGAACCACCTTGGCGAGTCCCCAGACACGGTGGCCGTGCTGAACGAGACAATGCCATCACTCACCAATTCGCAGCTGAGCCTGCTGGAGCGGTGCTACTACCCCTGCGAGATGCCTGTGATCATGGACACGACGTCCACGGCGTCTGGTGACACGCTCTCGAACTCGCGTGTGCAGTTCTACATCTTGACCGGGTCGCCGCAGACCAACCCAGAGGCGTTGGACAGCGACCACCCGCACACGAAGCTCTTCCGCGCCACCATGCAGCGGCTGCCACATGACCCCGTGACAGAGTCACTGTATGTGATTGTGACGGGCGATGTTGCGCAGGGCACGGGCGCGTCCATCCCCTTTCCGCGCTACAAACCGCTGCTGGTGGTGCAGGACCCGCCTGGTGGCCTGTCCTCCGCCACGTACTCGAACACGTACGCCAACTACAAGATTGAGAGCGACACGTACGAGGAGTATGGTGGGTTCTTCTTTGGGCTCGAAATCACGCCCTTTAAGGTGGACGCCACGCTTGACCTGTGTGTTGGTCTTGGCGCTGCCAACTGCATCAACCTGCTGACGGCAAAGACAGAACCCGTCACCATCAAGGCCGAGACCACAAACCTGTTTGGCTCGAAGGACGGCAACGACAACTACGACACGGAGAAAGTGTGGTCGTTCAGCCTGGACGTGACGACCAGTGAGGCCGAGGTGCTGGCTGGCGAGCGCTCCGACATGTTCCTCGTGCCGTCGCTCAACGTCATGTTCCTTGACACGGACATTGTGGAGTTTGACACGGACACATGCGACGTGACGCTGCGAACGGAGACAACGTGGTCGCTTGCGAGCGGCGAGAACGACGAGGCAATGGCGTGGCTGTCCGCGTACGAGATTGAGACGAAGGAACTGCCAGACCTGCGCACACGCCTCGCCAACGCCGATGCCAACGGCGACTCGGAGGACATGAAGGCGGAGCTGCAGAACGCCATTGACGCGTGGGAGGAGAATCTCGCCCGCAACACGGAGGTGCGTGACATGGCTGCAAACGGCGAATTGAATGCCATTCAGCAGCTGTGGTCGCCCGATACCTTCAGCCTCTCTGGCAAGAACAACATCAACGGGCAGATGAACAAGGGCATTGCCCTCGCCCCGCACAAGTTGATTGAGTCTGCGTTGCAGCTGAACGACACGGCTGCCACAGACACACAGCAGACTGGGCTCAAAGCCATCAACACGATCAAGTTTTCTGGTGGCGGCTCCACGTACACCTTTGCCTACGACACGAGCGTGGACAAGTCTGTCACGGATGGCACCATGCGCGAGCATGAGTTTCAGGGCGGTGCCGAGATCTCCTTTGACATTGCGTCATCAGGTCAGTGTGTGTGTGTGTGTGTGTGTGTGTGTGTGTGTGTGTGTGTGTGTGTGCGTGTGTGCGTGCGTGCGTGCGTGCGTGCGTGGTGTATTTTCGTGCGCTCTGACTTGCCAATGCTGGTTCAAACCATGCCGGGACCATCATGCCCGATCTGACACGATTTCTTCTCTTCTGCACTTCTCAATGTTGCAGGTGTCGGTGCTGAGTTCAAGCTGACTCCACTCGGCATTGGCAAGTGGTCCTCGTCCCACGAAGACCAGGAAGGATACCAGGAGGAGGAGCATGTCGAATTCACGGTGCGCGAGCAAGTACCTGCGTGTTTGTGAATGTTTGTGAGTGTGTGAGTATCTGAGTGTGTATGTCTGTGTGTCTGTGTGACTGTATGCTTGTGTTTACATTTTTGCCACCGCCCCCTGCCAACCCTCATGCTTGCTTGTGATGATTACCTCACACTGCCGCTTCACTACATCACCACCACCATGACAGCTTGGCGACCCCGACCCATTTGATGTGTTTGATGTGCAAGTGTTCAAGCACCCCGACTACAACACGCTGGTGTTCCACACGGCCTCTGGCCAGTCGTCGTGCCCGCACGAGGAAAACACGCTTGCGCTGGAGCAGCCTGGCATGACGGTGCTGAAGCGCCCAGAGGCACCCGTGCTGCCCAACGAGCCAGCCGTGTTTGAGATTGTGCTGCGCAACGACGGCGACTACACGACGTACATGCAGCTGTATGCGGTCAATGGCGAGAACCAGGATGGCCTGGAGATCAGCGTGAACGGACGGTCGCTGGTGGCGCCCATCGACTACGTTGGTTTTGCGCCTGGCGCCACGCAGATCACGGTGGTGATGAAGCGTGGGCCGTCAGCCTACCAGTACGACCCGGTTGACCTGTGGTTCTCGTCGCTGTGCGAGCAGGAGCGGCTGGCGGAGACAGGGTACCTGAGCGACGAGGCCGCAGCGCAGGTGCGCGTGACGCTGGAGGTGGAGTTCCTGCAGCCGTGCTCACCCGTGCAGCTGGTTGGTGAGGTTGGAGAGGAAGGCCGCTTCGTTGTGAACAAGGCCACGGACGAGAAGGACGAGCGGCCTGGCGAGCTCCGTCTCGTTGCGTTCAACTCAGACTTTGCCACGCGCAAGTGGACAGAGGACGACAGGCTCACGGGCGTGTACGTTGAGTACAAGCCCGTCACGTCCACGGTGTGGCTGTTGGCGCGCGACAAGGACCAGGAGGCCTTGGAGATCAGCACGCGCGAGAATGACTACGGCTATGTCACCATGTGGTGGAGCGTTGAGTCGCTGAGCGAGGGCGAGTACGACCTGCGCATCCGCGCGCAGTGCCAGGCGTCTGTCAACGAGGTGCCCGATGGCATTGACGAGCAGTATTCCATCACGGCACTCGGTGTCATTGACCGCACGGCGCCCCAGGTGCTGGGATACCCCGAGCCTGCCGACGGCGTGTACGAGCCGGGCGATGACATTGCGTTTGAGTTTGACGAGCCACTGCAGTGCGCGCAGCCGTTCTGGTTCCGCGTGCGCATGGAGGTGACGGGGGTGGACCGCGTGTTCGACAACACGAACATGGTCATTGTGTGCGAGGGCCGCCGCATCACCATGTCCCTTCGCCGCGGGTTCTCCTGGGACGAGGTCAACGCCCGGTCTGCGCGCCTGCTGCTCACAACCGTTGAGGACCCGTATGGCAACCGCGTGCAGCAGGATCTGACGCACCTGTTCCAGTTTGCAGATCTTGCGCTGAGCTCCGCCACGGTCGAGGTGACGGGCCTGATGCTGGAGGTTCCGTTTGAGCAGGAGTTCTACAACACGTCGTCGGCCGCCTTTGCAAACGTGACCAACATCATTGAGGGCGACATTGCCGATGCGCTTGGCATCAGCCAGGCGCGCGTGAAGGTGATTGCCATCTCGCCAACAGACCCGTCCAACTACCACTTGGGCATCCACGTGGACATCTACCTGCTGTCACCAACCATTGAGGAGCTCACAGACTCCCGTCGCCGTGCCACGAGCCAGGAGACGGCATCTGCACTTGCCGATCTGCTGCAGACCATCGTCTCCAACCCCAACTCCACGGAGCTCTCCCAGTCCAACATTCTCCGTCGCCTCTCGCCGCTGACAGACATGGAGGTGACGATGATGGCGCAGCAGCGGTCGACAAACAGCACAGCAGGCCCAAACGCAACCACCGTTGGCTCTGGCAACAACAACAGCGGCAGCGGCGATGACGACAACATCCTCGTGCCAATCTGTGAGTGTGGGACGGTGCAGAGGTATCTGTTGAAGAGAGAAGTGCGTCGTGTGACACATGACGGAAGCCATGTTTCATCATCACAGCGTTGGTGTTGGGGTTCGCGTTGTTGGTGGTCATCGGGTATCACACAATCACGGAATGCAAACGAAACATGGCCCTCAGTCGCTCATCAGCTGCTGCGCCCATGCTATCTGTTCTGTTTTGACTCACATTATCACACACATGCACACACACACAATTACACACACACACACACAATTACACACACACACACACAATTACACACACACACACACAATTACACACACACACACACACACACACACACACACACACACACACACACACACACACACACACACACACACACACACGTGTTTCTTCTCTGCGTTTGTTTGGTGCTTGTTTACAGATGTGCTGATTGCACTGCATTGCGTGCTGCTTGTGGTGGTGGTCTGGATGTTCCTGTGGCTGCGCCGCAGGCGCCAGACATCCGACTCGTACAAGGTGACACCGACGTCTGCTCCTGTCAGCACCTTTGAGGAGAACCCAGCCACGCTCTCCCTCTCCCATGTTTGAGTGTGCTTTGCTCGTTCTTTTTCGTGTTGTGTGTGTTGTTCCGTTTCGAGTGAAGAGGGTGAATCGGTGGTTGTCTTCTGCTGCTTTCCTTTTGTTGTGTGCTGTGTCGTGTGGATGTGTGATGTATGGTGTGGTGACATGTGATTGTGTGATCTCCTCCCTTCCTCCCGTTAGTTCCATTGCATTGGCAGTTGGAGTGCTGGTTGTGTGGGCGTTCATGCTGGACGCCTGCCCGCAAGCAGTCATCTGCCTCGTTACCCGACACCATAAAAATCAAGTTGACAAGGGACCACAAACACAACAGCCATGCCGAGACCACCGGATGTGCTGAAGGCAGCACGGGCCAACGACTGGCGCCGGCTGCTTGTACGAGCCAGCGCCTGTGCATGCCTGTGCATGCGTGCGCGTGTGTGTGTGTGTGTTCTGTTTGTCTTTGTACCTGCTCGGCTCTCGCACGCAAGCACACACACACACGACACACACACACACACACGACACACACACGCACATGATAACGCCTTGCCTCAGGACATTGTGACTGGCAAGAAGGAGAGCCGGCTGCGAAGCACCATTCGACGAAAGCGCAAGCCAGCTGGAGACGGCGCATCCAACGTCTGTTCACTGTGTTGTGTGTGTGTGTGTGTGTAGGGGTGGTCCTCAGCGTGAGCACACCAGCCTCGCACTCACGCTCATTACCTTCAATCGCGTTTCGTGTTGGCAGGCAACCACGCTCGTGCTGGACAAGAACGACGACGGGTCGTTGCAAGTGAAGCCATGTGCACCGGGTGTACGCATCGATCTGCGTGATGACACTGGCAGCACACCCCTCATCCTTGCTGCTCTCGGAGGTTAGTCATTACTGTGTGTGTGTGTGTTTGCAGTATGTGTGCGCAACGTATGTCTGGGTGTATGTTCTTGCATGGATGTGTATGAACATGTGTGTGTATGCGTGTGCTTGTTTGCATGTGTGCTTTGGGTGTGATGACTGCTGTGTTGTCGAGGACTCAGCTAAGCGCAACACCATGAAATCGCCCGTTGTGATGATCGTGCCCAGGCAACGTGGAAGCTGCATCGTGCTTGATTGCGTACGGAGCCAACGTTGATGCCCAGGACACAGACGGGTGAGCGTGATGCGCCCTGTGAGAACTGGAGAGTTTTGCGCACTTAAAGGGAGAAGTTGTTGCCTTGCACCTGCCAACCCTTCATGCACATCACGCTGGTTCTTACGCCCCGCCCCACATGTTTCCGGTTATATCGTAGGAACACGGCGCTGCACATGGCGGCATGGCAGGAGCGGGAACACAGCGTCGACGTCATGGAGTTGTTGCTCAAGAACGGGGCGGATCCAAACATTGCCAACGCAGAAAACCGAACCCCGCTTCACAACGCAGTCCAAGTATGTGTGTGCACACATGTGCACGCGTGCATGTGTTTGTGTGTGCATGTGCGTGTGGGTGCATGTGTGTGCGTGCATGTGCATGTGTGTGTGTTTGCATGTGCGCCATTTGCATGTGTGTGTGTTTGCATGTATGTGCAACATGTGCAACATGTGCGGCATGTGCGTCGTGTGCGTCGCTCGCTCTCTCTCTCTCTCACATCCACCCCTCGATGCACACGCCAACTTGCACTGGCAGAACGGGCAAACCTTCGCCGTGATGGTGCTTCTCGATCACAACGCAGACGTGCACGTGCGCAACGACGCCGGTGAGACGCCGCTCGACATTGCTGTTCGCTTCGGCCGCGAGGAGGTGGTCTCTGTGCTTCTCAACCACGACATCAGCGTCACCAAGTCCACGCGGGCGCTGCGGGAGGCGGCGCAGATGGGGCGCGCATCCCTCGTCCGCACGCTCCTCGATATGGGCATGGACGTCGCCGCCGAGGTGATGGCGTGCACGTATGCTCGCGCGTACGCATTGTGCTTACGTGTGTATGTGCGTGTGTGTGTGCGCTTACGTGCGTGTGTATGTTCGCGCCGGGAACGATAGATATCCTTGTGGGCACCACCATCGCATATCACACACACACACACATCGACACGCCCACTACCTTTATGCCCCCGCCCCCGCACACACACACACTCTCTTCCCCCCTCGCTCTCTTCACTGCTCACAGGACCCGGAGACGCGCGACACAGCGCTGCACGTCGCAGTGAAGTTTTCCCGCACGTCTGCAGTGGAGACGCTGCTTGCGTTCGGGGCAGACCCGTATCAGCCCAACGCCGCCGGCAAGAGCGCACACGATGCCATGCTGGACCTCTCTGATGAGCGAACGCGCGACGTCATGCTGGCTCTTGTCGAAGGTGAGGGTCGCACGGCGGGGGTTGTGTACTGTATGTGTGTGTGTGTGTGCTTGTGTGTGCTTTTGTGCTTTTCTGTTGTCATGTGTGTGTGTGTGCTTTTGTGTGTGCTTGTGTGTGTGCGTGTGTGTGCGTGTGTGTCTGTGTGTCTGTGTGTGCTTGTGTGTTAGTGTTAATGTGTGTTGTGTGTAAAGGTGAAGAGTGTGAGAATGTGCTGATTTACTTGTATTGTGTATGATTTTTGCCGTACATCTGTATGCTTGTATGGATACTGTGCAATGGCTGCGGCTACCCGCCTTCATGTGATATCGCCCGTGTGCGACTGCTTCACTGCCATGTATGTGTGTGTGTGTGTGCAGAGTACAAGGACAAAGATGTGCAGCTGCCTGCAATCGTGCTCAACGAGCGACGACAGCGAAAGTGAGGCCTGTTCTTATGCTGTCGTGAACACGCCGTGTGTTGTGTGACATGATGCAAAGCGCCTTCT